GCCATGGGCTGCCAAAGGAACCAGTAGATCCGTTTTGGAAGAAGTGCAGCTAGATTGCTCCTTGGAGGCCAGGATGGCCAAACTTCGTCTCTCATACTTTGGACATATTGTCAGGAGAGATCAGTCACTGGAGAAGGATTTCATGTTTGGTAAGGTGGAGGGTCAGAGAAAAAGAGGAAGACCCACAACGAGATGCATTGGCCAAGTGGCATCATCGATGGCACTAGTGTGGCAACAATAGTGGCCCAGAATCCGGCAATGTTTTGTTTTGCTGTGCATAAGGTCGCTATGGGTCCGTACCTATTCGATGGCACCTTACAACAACAAAAACAACATGTGAATGTGAAAGTTGGACAATGAATAGTGAAAATTGTAAAATAATAGATGCTTTTGAATAATATCCTGAGAATAATATTGAAAGCACCATAGACTGCCAGATGAACATTTCTGTATTGGAAGAAAAACAGTCAGAATGCTCCTTAGAAGTGAGAATGGGACTACTTTGTTTATCTTAGTTTAGGCATGGTGTTAGGAGGAATCTGTTCTAGAGCAGGATGTTAAACTTGAAAAAGTGGAGGGTCAATAAGAAAGAGAAAGACCCACAATGAGTTGAACTGACACAGTGACAGCAACTATGGGCTCATACTAACCATTGTGAAGATGATGCATCATTGACCAGTGTTATCTTCTGTTGTGCAGTGTCGCTGTAAGTCAGAACTCACTTGATAACACCTCAGAGCAATAGGCTGTAGAAAGATGAAGCTTTCTATTGATGGGAAAATTTGAAGACTTGGAAACCCTATATACGGTCACTATGATTCAGAACAAACCCAACAGCATTTAACAACAATAACAATAGTAACAATCCATACTTATGTGATTGCCTACCCACTCCTCAACTTGCAAATAATACAAAGATGATGTTAGTGTCTTAGCTTTAGTATAGCTATCTCTATTTTGACACTCAACTATATAGGGTTTGAATGTGGTTAGTAGGTGCTATTCAGTCAGCACCAACTCATAGTGATCCTATGCACAACAGAATGAAACAGTTTCAAGTCCTGAACCATTCCGGCATTCATTTCCTGGCATTCTGCCTCCACTTCTTCCTAGTCTTAGTCTGGAAACTCCCCTGAAACCTGTCCACCATGGGTTACCCTATTGGCATTTAAAACACAGGTGTCATAGCTTCTAGCATCTGAGTAACATGCACGTCACCATAGTCTGACAGACTAATTGAAGAACTGCCTGCAAATGTTTATAAATTAAAAATGCCTAGATCAATCAAGAGAATCCTACTGTATAACTGAAATGAAATATGCTATTTATGTGCCTCTTTCCTCCCTTTTCCTACCTGACCCTGGTAGCCACTAATAAACTTTAGCCTTTACACACTTTCCTATTCTACATATATGATATAGGTGGGATCGTACGATATTTAGTCTTCTGTGCTTGACTCATTTCACTCAGCATAATGTTTTCCAATGTTATTATTCTCCAGCAAGTATCAGGATTTTATTTCTCTTTATGGCTGAGCAGTATTCCATTGTATATATGTACCAAATTTTGTTTATTCCTTCATCTGTTGTTGGACATTTAGACTTTTCCTATCTTTTGTTTTTTGTGACTAGGGCTGAAATGACCATTAGTGTACAAGCATCTTTTGCATGCCATTTTAATTTATTTTGGAAATGTACCAAGGAGTAAATTTGCTGGATAATTCTATGTTTAACTTTCTTGTAGTTGTTATTGTTAGGTGACATCGATTTGGTACTAACTCATAGCGAACATATGCACAGCAGAATGAAACACTGTCTGATCCTGGGCCACTCTTGTTGCCAGGCTTGAGTCCATCGATGCTGCCAATTGGCCAATCCATATCATTGGTAGTCTTCCTCTTTTTCTCTGACATTACCAAAAACATGGTATCCTTCTCCAGCAACTGATCCCTCCTGACAATATGTCCAGAGAATCTTTCAGTAATGAAAGTCGAG